AATTCAAATCAATCTCAAACAACCTCCGGCAGCCACCGGACCGAAGCACAAATAATCAGTTTTCCTCACGACGGCGTGAATCAGCACACACCACTACTCCAACCAACAGCGACGAATGAACATTAGTGGATCAGAAATCAACACGAGGAGAACATTCATTGGTCTACCGAAGTTCGCGAATGGGAGAATTCAGGAGGAGCAGAGCACTACCTGGAGGCTGGAGGTCTCAACAAGCCTCCAGCAGCCTCCGGATCGGTGCACAGATCTTCAGTATTCCTCAAGGTGGCGTGAATCAGAACCACCACTACTCCGACCAACAGCGAGGACAAAATATTTGTAGTGGCGCCAGTCAACAACAGAAGACCGATTGTAATAACCGATAAACCAATCATCACATTTTGATCGGTAATCATTCTGCCGAAGATCACGATCGGCTCGTCTCGGAGGAAGTAGAAGTACAGCCAGGCGGCCGTTATCGCCACCAACACGATGAGCGAAATGGGATGCGATATAAGGGAGAGAAATATAACCAATAGAACTACGATCGCGTAGTTCATCTGAAAGAAGGCGACGTTTGTTTTCAACCGAGAAACGGCGTCGTCCGTGGAGGTCGGGAGTTTGAAGGCGTGGAAGTCGAACATCTCGCGCCATGAACGGCGCGTGCCGAGACCTTCCTTCATGCGTTCCTTGGCTCGTGTTAGATACTCGATTCTTGAAGCCTTGGTGGCTGGCGATGAAGACGTCGGAATCGTGCCGTAATTCGTCATCTCCGACGAGTTTGGAGTTTTTGACGGATGGGGAAATTGGGAAGTGCGAAAGTAGAAGATAAAAGGCTTAAAAGGGTTGTGGGGGATTTGAAAGGCTGGCGGTGTAAACGAGGGATGGTCATTGTTTAATCTTTTCTTTTTCAAAAATTCATTTTTCTCTCCTCTTCAACCGTAAATTATCCAATAAAATAATATTATACACAAATTTAAAAAAATTCTTTAATTTTTAATCACACATTTTACATCAATCTACTATTCCAAAAAACATTGTACACAAAAAAATGAAACTAGAATATTTGTGTATAATAAGAGCATAATTGACATGACTTTTAAATTCATTTGGATAATTTTATAAAAGTGTTTCTGACAGTTAAAAGAGCTTGTAGAAAAAATTAATCCAACGTGACTTTCTAAAAGGACAATGCTACATATACATCAACTTTTTTACCTAATCTTTTATCTACACTCACAATACGATGTTGGAACCACAGATTTGAGATTTTTTATTTACGCGGGGCCCACGCGCATGTGAAAGGGTGTAACATATTCGATACAAATGAAATTGTCCAAGCTCTTTTACAAGAATCAAAAATAAATGCCAAACGAGCCCTAAATAAAGAACCTCCTCCGTCGTGTTTATGCATCCACCTTCGATTTAATTTATAAATAGCCCCGTTTGACTACCATTATTTAAAAACTCATTTTCAACCACACATTCAAAATAAAATATCCTGGTACGTAAATCCAAAACTTTTTTTTACTTTTTAACTGTACATTTTCTAAAAAATCACTATTCAAAATATTGATTTTTACAAATAATGAATAAATAAATAATTAAAAACAATATTCATCAAAATCTGAAATTTAAAATAAAATTTGACGGTCCATCTATAAAGATCAAAAAGGACTCGAACTTCTCATACGTATACTTGCCTTGTAACTTTTCAAGTCCATTTAGTAGATGACAACATAAAATGTTAAAAAGTTGTACACTCTACTTCAAACTTTTTAACTCCGTTAGTAGATGACAACATAAATTGTTAAGAGGTCAAGTTCCTTTCAAAATAGCCAAGTCGAAATATTATTGATAAACTAGTATAACAATTGAATTCTAGAGCACGAAACCCATAAAATTACTAATCCCTCAATTGGGTGAAAACTTTGATTTATATAGTACCATTTTTAAATCTGATCGTATTTTTCATTATAATCTAAAGGGTTAATTTATTTTTAGACATACTTCATTCACTTTGCTCTTTTTTTCCGAAAATACATCTGGTAAGTGATACTTACATCAAGAAAAGCTTCCACTTTCAAGAGGTGGCCTAAAATTTGGAAGCCTAAAATTTGGAACGACATTCTTGTCGGGTTTCAAACTGAATAGACTTGATATAGAATCGAAGTCCTAGCAATTTTTATATTTTATCTTCGATATTATAAATTGTACTAATTTCAAATGGAATGGATAGTTGATATAACATTTATAATGCTTGCTAGAGACGAAAAAAAACATCGAACGATGAGCAGCACATAAAAAATGAATCTCGTTGCAAGAAAAACAACAGTTCAGGAATCAATTACAGCTAAAGTTTCTCAATATGCATGCCATAGCCTGCTAGATAGCTACATCTGCTTCAAAGTAATACATACAGTGAGTGAACTCTTACGAGAAAGCTTACCAAAAATCCATTAACTGCTGTTTTTCTTGCTTTATGTACTGCTCATCTTTCGATGTTTTTTCTCGTATCTATCAAGAATTACAAATGTTATACCAACCATCCATTTGAAATTAGAACAATTTATAACATGGAAGATAGAATATAAAGATTGCTAGGACTATTGAATTTGTTACTTCGATTAACTAATAAAAATATGCATGAAGAACAGCTCTGGGTAGTCAAAATCGATAAAATGGAATGAATTCGTGATCATCCTGTCTTATGGTTTGTGAAGATCAGCCACCACCACTAAACCCAAATGGTAAATAGGAAATCTATTTTAGTAACAATTGGCAAAAAAAAATATAGTAAACATTCTTATAGCATGGCAAACATTTTATTAGCTTGTGTTTGACATCCATTTTGGGGAAAGAATAGATTTTGGAATAGTGATTGATGGAAGAATATATGGTTAAAAAGTAAGGAGAATTTATGGGTTTATGTGTAATATTATTTTATTGATAGAATGTGTGGTTGAAATGAAGAAAGAGAAAAAAAAAATGAGAAATAGAATGGATGTCAAACATGAGCTAAATAAAAGATGGTGAAGTAAAAAAAAAAAAAAATCTATTTTTCCATTTTTTGCAGCAATAAATTGCATTTTTTTCATAAAATTTCCTGTGACCTGGTTTCCGCGGCCGGTATACTTGAGCTGGCAGTTCTCAAAACCAGGTCGCCGGCGGAAGAGGTTGTGAATCTCACGCGCCTTGATGTCGTCGGGAAGGCCGGACACAAAGAGCGTATTGATTCCATTGCCATCGTTGCTGTAGACGAACTCTGGTTGGGCTAGGTAGTACGGATCGTACGGCGGCGGGAGAGCCATCAGAAAAGGACGGTGTAGAGTATCAGTATATCACTGACGGATATACGCGTTGGGAGTAATGGGGTTTTGCAGCGGTGCCAATTTCAGCTAAGGAAGCCCTTTAGGCCTTTACCTTAATTAATTTCTTAACAGCAAACTATTTTAAACACATCCATCACATTTTACCCAAGGAATGCCACTAAGAATGTATATTTAGCTAGGGATGTCTGTGATTAAATTTTGATCCGAATACGATAAAATTTAGAATACTCGATAACTCGATCAAGATTCGATAATTCGTCAAATAAATAAAACAAAAATGGATATAAGTCAATCTAATCCGATAATAACTCGATTCGACTTATTATAATAATATAGTATATTTTATATATTGTCGCTTAATTTATTACCCATAATCTTTTTCATTTTGAAACTTTTATTATACTTTACACATAATTTTCAAATAATAAATAATATTAGATATTAATATAATATATTTAATTAAAATAGTTGGATATTTTTTAATTTTTTATTAATTAAATTGAGATTAAAAAAAATAATTAGTTTATTTTATAAATTAAATTAAACAACCAAAAGGCCCATCGATTGAGCTTGCTTTCATCGTTCCCAAATTCCTACTTGCCACATCAGTTACTCACTACAACATTAAGAGCTTGTTTGGGAGGGATTAAAATCAGATTAAAATTGAAAATATAACCGTTGGAGTTGACTTTTATTAGACGTGTGGGACCCAATAACGACTATATTTTCAATTTTAATTGGATTTTAATCATTCCCAAACAAGCTCTAAATTCTAGAGTTAGAAGTTAACTAACATAAAAATTTTATCTTCACAATTTCTTCAATTTTGGATCAGATATTCGATAACATAGTAAATCGGATGTGGATTTAACAATCAGATATTCGTTGGATTATCAGATCGAATTGAATATGGGTATACCGATCTATTTATAGCCCTACATCTAACTTAATTATTTTAACCTTTTATAATATTTTCTATTCTTCTAGTCATACATTTTTTTGACAAAATTACTTTTCAAAAATTTACTCACACATAAGCAGCACTCATATTTTTATATTTTCGAGTAAAAAAAGATATTGACACCAATATGTCCAATTAATTATGGATTGAAATTTCTTTTAACTTTTCAACGGATTTCACGTCATTTCAAAAATATGCCCTTAATCCTTAATCACATGAACGACTTGTATGGGAGGGATTAAAATCGGATTAAAATTGAAAATATAGCCGTTGTTGTTGACTTTTATTAGACAAGTGGAACCCAATAACGACCATATTTTCAATTTTAATTGAATTTTAACCCCTCTCGATCGGGCCTAAAGATTAATATTTTCTTAATTGCAAAACCCCTTAAACAAAGTACACGTTACAACGAATTAGAAAAATGTCCAAAATAAACAAGCAACCAATAATAACGTGGACTGAATGATTGGCCAAAAATACAGTACAAGAAAAGGAAGAACAAATTCAAATCAATCTCAAACAACCTCCGGCAGCCACCGGACCGAAGCACAAATAATCAGTTTTCCTCACGACGTTGTGAATCAGCACACACCACTACTCCGACCAACAGCGACGAATGAACATTAGTGGATCAGAAATCAACACAAGGAGAACATTCATTGGTCTACCGAAGTTCGCGAGTGGGAGAATAGAGGAGGAGCAGAGCACTACCTGGAGGCTGAAGGTCTCAACAAGCCTCCAGCAGCCTCCGGATCGGTGCACAGATCGTCAGTTTTCCTCACGGTGGCGTGAATCAGAACCACCACTACTCCGACCAATAGCGAGGACAAAATATTTGTAGTGGCGCCAGTCAACAGCAGAAGACCGATTGTAATAACCGATAAACCAATCATCACATTTTGATCGGTAATCATTCTGCCGAAGATCACGATCGGCTCGTCTCGGAGGAAGTAGAAGTACAGCCAGGCGGCCGTTATCGCCACCAACACGATGAGCGAAATGGGATGCGATATAAGGGAGAGAAATATAACCAATAGAACTACGATCGCGTAGTTCATCTGAAAGAAGGCGACGTTTGTTTTCAACCGAGAAACGGCGTCGTCCGTGGAGGTCGGGAGTTTGAAGGCGTGGAAGTCGAACATCTCGCGCCATGAACGGCGCGTGCCGAGACCTTCCTTCATGCGTTCCTTGGCTCGTGTTAGATACTCGATTCTTGAAGCCGTGGTGGCTGGCGCTGAAGAAGCCGGAATCGTGCCGTAATTCGTCATCTCCGACGAATTTGGAGTTTTTGGCGGATGGGGAAATTGGGAAGTGTGAAAGTAGAAGATAAAAGGCTTACAAGGGTTGTGGGGGATTTGAAAGGCTGGCGGTGTAAACGAGGGATGGTCATTGTTTAACCTTTTCTTTTCAAAAATACATTTTTATTTCTTCTTTTCAACAGCACATTATTCAATAAAATAATATTATACACAAATTAAAAAATTTTCTTTAATTTTTAATCACACGTTTTACATCAATCTACAATTCCAAAATACATTGTACACAAAAAAATGAAACTTGAATATTTGTGGGATAATAAGAGCATATTTGACATGACTTTTATATTCATTTGACTAATTTAATGAAAGTATTTCTGACAGTTAGAAGAGTTTGTAGAAAAAATTAATCCAACGCGACTTTCTAAAAAGGACAATGCTACATGTACATCAATTTTTTTACCTAATCTTTTATCTACACTCACAATAGGATGTTGGAACCACACATTTGAGATTTTTTATTTATGCGGGGACCCCGCGCATGTGACAGTATGTAACATCTTCGGTAAAAAAAATTCGGTACAAATGAAATTGTCCAAGTTCTTTTACAAGAAACAAAAATAAATGCCAAACAAGCCCTAAATAAAGAACAACCTCCCTCGTGTTTATGCATCCACCTTCGATTTGATTTTATTTAAAAACTCATTTTTTTACACGCTCATTTTGAACCACACATTCAAAATAAAACATCTTTTACGTAAATCCAAAACATTTTTTTTTTTACTTTTTAACCGTACATTTTCTTAAAAATCACTATTCAAAATATTGATTTTTACAAATAATGATTAAATAAATAATTAAAAACAATATTCATCAAAAACTGAAATTTAAAATAAAATTTGACGGTCCATCTATAAAGATCAAAAAGGACTTGAACTTCTCATACGTATACTTGCCTTGTAACTTTTCGAGTCCATTTAGTAGACGACAACATAAAATGTTAAAAAGTTGTACACTCGACTTGAAACTTTTTAACTCCTTTAGTAGATGACAACATAAATTGTTAAGAGGTCAAGTTCCTCTTAAAATAGCTAAGTCGAAATATTATTGATAAACTAGTATAACAATTGAATTCTAGAGCACGAAACCCATAAAATTACTAACCCCTCAATTGGGTGAAAACTTTGATTTATATAGTACCATTTTTAAATCTGATCGTATTTTTCATTATAATCTAAAGGGTTAATTTATTTTTAGACATGCCTCATTCACTTTGCTCTTTTTTCCGAAAATACAACTGGTAAGTGATACTGACATCAAGAAAAGCTTCCACTTTCAAGAGGCGGCCCAAAATTTGGAACGACATTCTTGTCGGGTTTCAAACTGAATAGACTTGATATAGAATCGAAGTCCTAGCAATCTTTATATTCCATCTTCGATGTCATAAATTGTACTAATTTCAAATGCAATGGATAGTTGGTATAACATTTATAATGCTTGCTAGAGACAAGAAAAAAAACATCGAACGATAAGCAGCACATAAAAAATGAATCTCGTTGCAAGAAAAACAACAGTTCAAGAATCAATTACAGCTAAAGTTTCTCAGTATGCATGCCATAGCCTGCTAGATAACTATATCTGCTTCAAAGTAATACATAAGAGTGAGTGAACTCTTACGAGAAAGCTTACCAAAAATCCATTAACTGCTGTTTTTCGTGCTTTATGTACTGCTCATCGTTCGATGTTTTTTCTCGTATCTATCAAGAATTACAAATGTTATACCAACCATCCATTTGAAATTAGAACAATTTATAACGTGGAAGATAGAATATAAAGATTGCTAGGACTATTGAATTTGTTACTTCGATTAACTGATAAAAATATGCATGAAGAACAGCTCTGGGTAGTCAAAATCGATAAAATGGAATGAATTCGTGATCATCCTGTCTTATGGTTTGCCAAGATCAGCCACCACCACTAAACCCAAATGGTAAATAGGAAATCTATTTTAGTAACAATTGGCAAAAAATATATAGTAAACAATTTTATAGCATGGCAAGCATTTTATTAGCTTGTGTTTGACATCCATTTTGGGGAAAGAATAGATTTTGGAATAGTGATTGATGGAAGAATGTATTGTTAAAAAGTAAGGAGAATTTATGGGTTTATGTGTAATATTATTTTATTGATAGAATGTGGTTGAAATGAAGAAAGAGAAAAAAAAAAAGAGAAATACAATGGATGTCAAACATGAGCTAAATAAAAGATGGTGAAGTAGACGAGGCTATAAAATCTTTACCCACCACCCCTTTCCCGAACGAGCATGTTTAGCTGAGCTCTGAAGTTACTTGTTTTGATAAACAATTTTTTCCAAGTTACTTTTGAAAAGTGAACTTATTTTCAAGAAAAGTAACTTTAAGCACAAGCAAACAAGCTTATATATGTCATTAAAAAAAGAACGAAAGATGTGAAAAATTTAAAACATTGAGAACCATTTCCAAGCGTAATGAGAAATGTTGTGGCCGACTAAAAAACTTAGGGCATTTCATGCACGACAAAAGATACTAGTAGTATGATTGGTAGGGAGGATGGATAGCATTTTGATAATAATACAGAAAAAAGAAACTAAAATTTTGATATCATAATACGGTTCAATCCTGTCCAATATTGTGTAAAAAACATAACATGTCCAGTTCCCATCACCAGCCTAAACAATTATCATTTTCCCAAGGGTTAACACCATTTCTACAATCAGATCAGAAAATTTCTATAATTTAACCTTTTCTAGATTAGATCACAGGATAAACTGAAGCCCGAGAATAAAAGCTTGACAAAATAGAGCTTCAAATTACCTTTGACTGAGAACCAGCAAGGACATTTCACCATTGAACCTTGTACCTTAACATAATCAATCATCTATTTTCCTTTTCGTGTAGTATCAAGAAAAATTATCAGATTATATATTCAACAAAATAAGAAGCTACCTGGATATTTTTACCTTACCTCGCAATGAAATTTTGGAGAAAGCAGCTTTCCAGTTCTGCACTGCAAGAAAAGAAAGGATAACTATATTAGAGAAAAAAAAATTTATTAATGAAAAAAATGGAGTTCTGAAAAGGAGTTAAATAGTTATTTTGAGTAGTAAGCATAATAATACTGCAGACAAAAACCAGCATACTAAAAAATTATACAATGACTTCTGCCTATGTAGAGATGACCATTGGAAAGACTTGGCAACTCCAGAATCCAGTTCATTAAAATCTCAAAAGACACATATTTAATAGATGTCATTGTTTGGATCCTCACTTGTATTCCTTGCGTTTTCCACAGAATTATCAGAAATAGTGACCATACAATATACTTAATAAACTATTCACATTAAATCCACTAAACATCTCAAGAGATGAGCATGAATGAAAGCAATATAACTTTATCTTTACCCTTGAAAGGATGCGGCTGCAAACCAAATAAAATCACCCGACAGATCAATTTCTAATGATAAAAATGTGCCTTGTATAACTCAGACATACAGTTCCTTGATTAACGCAATCTATTTGTACTTGACGAAACTCCAATTTCAATCAATGACTGAATGAGATTCCAGTTGCCCACATAGAAGTTTGTTCCCGGGAAAACTTAGCAGCGATATTAATCAATAATTGTCTTCTTAAACTGCACAAGCAGGAACCTCAAATTCAAGGACATGTTTTCAAAATCAAGTGAGGGCCTGTAGAACAATAATATCTACGATTCACCCAATATCATGGAACCGTCCTTCCAGAATGCATAATATAGTAAACCAGCTAATTCATAGATATAACAACTCAAAGAAAAAGTTCAAGATCATACCAAAGCTATTCAAAACCGCTGAAAATTCTACCTAAGCACGAGCGCTGCAAGAACTCCATCATTTAACCAATTTCGCGACTTTAATAGATGTCATTACTCAGAAGAAAGGTCCAAGACCATGCTAAAATTTATCTAATGTCTGAACCATGGTTATAGCTGAGTTCGATCTTTGTGACAGCTTTGTGAGTTCAATAAATTCACAACCTCAAAGCAAACACTTCCTGGAGGACCATAACATAGATTCTGCATTATATAAAAATCCTGTCATAAAACCCTAGAGCAACTCCTTGTTATTTGATAAAGACTGATCTAGATAGCTGCTATTCTTGCATATACTCCTCGCTACAGTGTACTAACTAAAGTATATTCCCGGGCAAATGAGAAAACAAAAATCACGTTCCTGATTGAAGCGTGTCCTTCTCTCCTTAAGTGTGTCCGTCTCTCCTTAACTGCATTGGATCAAGTCTCAGAGCTAAATATCCTCAGATAAAAACAACTTCAGAATCACTCCCTCAACTGAAGGATAGAAAATTTGTTCTAAGACCTCCAACCACAACCACACTTTTCTCCTCCATCTTTTTCCATCAATATTGTTCAGAAGAAGACGCGAGGGGAAGGAACCTTGAAAGCCAGCATAAAATGGCTATTATGCATAGCTATAAACAAGATTTGAGAGATCAAACTTCCAGATTTTACCAATCCATCACGAGTAGTGTTAAGCATGAAATGTGGCTAGAATAAAGCAAACAGCAGAAGCCAAGTAAGAACACATGCAAGAGGGTTGGTGAATCAAGAAGGTGCAAGCTATAAATTCCATCTAAATGAATTATGTTAAGCATGAGGTCCGACTGTAATAAAGCAAAGAACACAATCCTCGACTGGAGGCATGTCCCAAATTAGAGCATGTCCAACAGGGTTATCATATGGATAAAGGGCAGGGTGTAATCTAAATCTAAATGCACCTAAATGTTACAACAGAGTGATAAATTATAAACTAGTGAGACATGAAACCCACAAAACAGGAGGAGGATACTTGCCTAGGTGGTTCAGATCAGCCGCGCTGCAATCCACAAAGCTTCTTTTTCGGCACCGAGTGGATTCGCTATGGTGGGAAGGTAGCTTCATCTTACAGAATCTCTGCCAACGTCCTTCCTTCTCTTTGACGCACAAAGCAGCAACTCATTTACCAAAAGGGTGGCTGAAATAACTTAAGACTACAGAAAGTACAGCAGTGCAACACAAAAGTGGATAGTCAACCAAAATTTATCATTCGAGAATGCAGTGCTGCTGCCATAACTAGAGTCTGAACAGGTGAAAGTACGTCAAGAAAGACACTTCTTTGATCAATCATCTAATACTATGTCCAACATTTGTGGCCCTAAAACAATTCTAATCATAAGAAGATCTACCTATTCCATGAAAACCTCTACCGAGCTTAACATTTGCTTTCCACCAAACAAACCTAAAACAAAGAATAAAGCCAAATTCCATTTCCCAGCTTTTCAAGCATGGGTAAACAAAGTTTACTTAACAACCCTAATAGACGATCTAAACGCATCACTCAATTACCAACGTGGTTTTTCGAATACAATCATGCTCAAGATATTTCACTTTATCAGGCACGTAAACTTGCAGTTACTAATATCCATGTCTACCTGAAATCGTCATTCATCAATAATGATTAATCCAGCCCATGAGCACATTCTCTTTCGACCCAAATAGCTTCAAGAACCCCTAACAGAAAGAAGGCCGAAAAGGAGGTGGTCTGCATACTCAAATTTTCACTTTGCTTTTGAAAGAGAGATCAACAATGCCATCCATTCTCCAATGACACCTAAATCCAAGAGGAGCGCATCTAATCCATGATATGAAGTGTGTAATAAAGAAATTGGTTTTATTCAACACGTAGGAAATTCACCTATCAAATACTCAAGATTGGAACTAAATAAGAGATTCCTATAGGCTGATGCAGAGCAGACCCAAGCAATCCAAGAATATAGATGCAAAATAGAGAGCAGTCAATCCTGGAAACTTCACAGAAATTTGATCATCGCAGAAGAATTTCTTACAGCACAGAACCTAATATAAAATTCCCCATTCATCCAAAGAGTAAATAAAGCCGTCAAATAATCAAAATTTAATACTGCTGCTTGTTGTCAATCATTTATGCCTCGTCACCTTCAAATTGAACCAATATCGAGACAGGAAGTATAATGCACATTTTGGTCATATCTGGAGAGTCATCCTGATTCAAGAAACTTTCCCAGATTAAAATGGATGTAACGTCTATTCAACTCTCCCAAATGTTGTCAATTCATGACCATAATCATATTAAATCACAATAAACTATGATACAGAAAGACGGAGTCATCAACAATCTCTGACAAGTCTAAAATTATATTTTGCCGGAGAACAATCAAGTTCACTATCAAAGACCATAAGGTGCCTCACCATGCTTCACATATTTTCTCAATAACAAATATGATGATATTATCCTCACAAAATCCACAAACCTTTAACAACAGAAGACCATCAATAGTTAGCCCCTTATCACCATACAACTCATATATTACCTATCTTTACTTAGCATTCTTCAACACTATCCCAACCAACCTGCTCCAGAGAAGATCAAAGTACGCAAATAATGAAAATGAATGATGTATATATGAATTAGAGAAGCCAGCAAATTATAAGAGTATTAACACAGTTATAGCATAAAGGAAGACATACAAACTCATTAATTAAAAGACGCAAATCTTAATCTCTATAAGAGTCAGTAAAGAAAACAACCCACATTTAAATATTAAACTACAGGGTAGCACGCACAAATTCATGAATCACACATTCTTTCGCATTTCCTTCATTGGGAAGCAGATAAAGAAGACTAGCAAGGTGCGAGCTCATGAAGTTCATAAAGCCATCAATATCTTAGCGGCGAGTCATCCGAGATTTTTCAAGGCCTCCCCAAGAAGCCGAACTGGAACCATATAGATTACCCTTGTCAGCAGCACCCTGAGGAAAGACGTAGAAATTTTGACCAATCAAAATAACTTCACCTTACAACATGTTATTAATGACACCGATACAAATATCGGAAGCATCAATTTAGTAGCATTCATACCGCAGTACTCCTATATCCATCACCATATGGTGTATGGAAGGTGCGGTCGGAGCTTGTAAACTTCATCCTAAGAGGTCCACCTTTAGTACCAAGAGTATAAGAGGTTAGAACACAAGAATAACAGCAAAATAGCCATAGATAAGTTAAAGATTGCAGTAATGGAAGTCGACAAGATTTGTTTCTCCATACTAGCCTGGCTAAATGTAATTTCTACCTTCTCTTTTTTATGAAAATATAATCATGCATTGAAAATGGAAAAGAATTTAGAAAGCAGTTGCAAAAAGTTTCAGCCCATCCATATTCTGCAAACAGGTCGCAAAAAATGCAAAGACGTGAATGTACTTTCACTTTACAGTGCTTAGCATTATAGGCATCACCAAAAGAGGCTGGGCAAAATAAGACTGATCACAAACACACTGGCGAATTTTTCATGCATCAAAATTCTGAAGTGGACATTTTCAAAAGACAAGAAAGCCAACAATCACAGATAGGAACCAGGTTGTATCAAATCTGTGTACCAGAAACCAGATGGATCCAAACTTCAAGATCCTGAATATCAACTAAGTCACCAGCCAAAAAACAAAATGCCAGAATACAAAATTGTGCTAATGACCTAAAATCCTATGGACCTTGCTACATGTACATAAAGATTTATATAAGGGATTACATAATGCCATGGCACTCTACCATTTGCCAATTTAAAACAAAGTCAACTTTTTTATCCAATATTTCCCTCCACATCATTTTATATAATCCCTTATTTACCATTTTTATGTACAAGAATCATAATCCAAATCCTATACGTAAATCAATGGCATGATGCTATAAAGGGATAAACAATTTAGCCAATTAACTCGTATATTACTTGATTTTATATGGACTAATTTTTTAGCTCCTACCATCCTCTTCTTTGCTAAATAGCTCAATAATAAGTTCGTCTCATTCTTGCACTGTTTCATCACATTTGACTTCTTATATTTAATCTATATTTTGCAATCAAGCAATAGAACAATTTTTACGGGCATGAGAACACCTAAACATCTTGCAGAGTTTCTCCCAGCATCTCAACGGTCAGTAATTCTTACAATTTTACCGGAACGAATATTCCTAACCATCAGTCATCACCAGTTAAAATGGCAGACGAGTTGAAGTTGCCTGGTTTAAATGCCTTCTCGTCACTTATTGAAGATGTGCCCTCTCATGACTTAACTAGCTAATCATGAACCAATAACTTCTAGCACTTTATACAAAAAGACTAAGGTAAAGATAGAAATAATGTTCATTATCTCAAACACTTCATCAAATTATATGCCTTACACATTAAATTTGGTTGCGAGTGCTGACAGAGTCTTGGGTATTTGGTCAACATGTTAAACAAGAAACTATACTACTCTTTGTTACAGGCTAACTGCATCTAACGAGTATTAAGTAGCACAAAGGCATGTGCAAATAATATAAAAAGTTAGGAAGATAAAACAGTCCTCAAAAATTGAAGAAAGATTATCCAAGCAAGCAATTTGTATTTAGTATATGCATCACTTGACAATTTGCAAAATTTTCAACAAATAAGAAGCTACAGTATCAAGGTTAAAAATAATTGCAAGATAACATGCTCCAACGTTTTATGGAAAGCTTGAGATTCACATTTGGAACACTAAGAAATGAAAAGATTCAACCAGTGGTTTTCTACTTTTCGTAGAGGAAGCCTACATTCCAGAGCAATACCAGATAATTTATCCAACATTTCTCAATAGGATAACCAGCTCAAAATAAGTATATCATGGATTTCAGGAACCAAAAGTGCCCATGTCTGAGAGAAATAGCTAACAGATTTGCCTGGGTTGCAGTACAATTCTAAACCGAAAAAGGCGTAAATTTTATGTAAAATAGACAAAATTCAGTTCAGGCCAAAGGAATACAAGATCATACCCATAGGTAGGAAATGGCAAAAAAGGCTTCATATATCAACTAAAAATACTAATGTTTAAAGAAAAGCGAATCTACGACGTAACACTTCAAAGGAGAAATAAGAAATAGATCTTGTTAGTATTGACAATGTGGAGAGAGGAGTCGTAAATGACTCGTGAATACATGTAAACAAAGTCAAGCAAGATACTCATGCATGAGCTTATGCCTTGAAAAAGGAGATGAAGGAAATTGCAATTTAACATGATTTCCAGCTAATCTATGCAACTATAATATCACTTCCATGGAGGTAAAGAAACCTTACAAAGAAAAGATGAAGCGGTAAATAAGAAAGCACCAACCTGCACCCTTTGCTCTACCATCAGAATTAGCAAGCTCGGAACGCAGATTTTCAATTTCACGTGCCATGGTCAGCAAGTTCTTCTCCATTGCCTGCCTTTGCTCCATCAGCTCAATCTTTGCATTCTTTTCATAATCAGCAGCAGCTCTGCAAATCAAATACAAAACTCAAGCAGATAAGGAGTTGATCCATGCAATCACACAGCAGTTTCTACTCTAGACAATCATCGTTTCACATATTTTAAGCAGGAGAAATAGATACAAACCTAGCGCGCAGAAGCTCCTGATGCAATCCATCAATCTCTGCCCTCAAAAGTGGAATTTGCTGGTTATCAGCCTGCAACTTAGCAAGATCTTTCCTGAGAGACTGAATCTGCACAGATAAATCCTGCCTAATGGTGCTCAGCCTTTGAATTTCAGCTTTAAGTTGCATGGCCTCATTTTTCAGAGGCTCAGTAGCACGAAGATCAGCTTCCATCTTCAAACCCCTTTTAACAAGCTCCCTTGAATGAACATCTTGCTCAGCACGAATATCAGCAATGGCAAGATTCATGTGACGAAGCTCCTCCTTAGCAGCATTTAATTCTTGCTCCAGAGAAACCCGATCTTCTATCAGTCTCCGGTTTTCACCCAAAAGCCGGCGAAGTTCAACGTGTCGCATTTCGAGTTCTTCCTCTAATAGGGCAGGGTGAGGCATGACGCGGGGTAAAGGCCCCCGAACAACAGGCCCCCCATGGGGGTAACCGTGCCGGTGATCTAAAGCTTCACGAGGAATGCGATTTCTTCCAGCCATCTTAATTTACAACACAATTAGAATAAATAAGTGACATAAATAAAACTGAAACAAAAGGAATTATTTATGACAAAAAAAAAGCATAATATAGCAGGCAAGATTCGACAGCGACATAATGATGGTACAATGTCTACGTGCGAAAGCTGATTGAGTTTTTAAAAAGTTGAGTGCAACCCGTGTGTAAATGAAAGGAAAAATGCTTAAATGGGAAACTGCACTTTGAGATACACCCTTTACAGACTCATTGCAATGATGACGCCCTTTGTATAGAAAGGAGCCACCTAAATAGCCATCTATTAGTTCAACCAAAAGGGCCAATACTAGAATTTTTTGTCAACTTCATCAATTTGACGTGCCAATAGATCCAAGAATTCAGATTATAGGGCAATCTTAAATGACATGAAAAAAAAGAAACCAAACTTGATCATATAATGTGACTTGATTTTATGAGGTTAAGGAATTGAGAACACTTGAACAAATTACAACAAGAATCTTGACATATTTGAGTTTCCAAGTGACATTGCTATTACTATAAGTAATTCATGTAACCCTACACTTGACTAACTGATATCACTCCAATTTCAGATTTGTACTTGTACAGTATGATAGAGGTGCATTTTATAACTTTTATGGACATCAGTCTCCAGGTGTTGTGCATGAACCTTTTGAAGCACTAACTAATCCTAAATATGAAGAGCATCGCACATGACAAGGTATGAATTAGTTTTTCCTTGCAAATGATATCAATTAAACCCAAGACTGGATATTGAGTACCTGGAGCTTCAGACTATCGCATCCACCTCCTAGAAGTTTAGTTAGCAAATACAATTCTTGTTTGAAGAATAAAAATATTTGAAAAGCGTAAGAATCATTGTATAAAAAGAAGAATCTAAACAACCATTTCATAATAAGTAAATCTAGGACATCAGATACAGGCACACCATCTGCACTTCTTTGATTCCATGAAGTAATTCACTTCAACTCAACAACCTCAATTGCAATAATTCAATCAATTCTTTTTTCTAATATAAGAGAACATAAAGGAAAAAAGATTGCCCTATTTATTACATGTGACACAACTGAGATAACATAGCTGAAATCAGCATAACTTGATCAGATAATAACAAAAGCACATCAGTAATTAACACAAATAACATGACTCAAGACAACATAGTTTATTCGGACTAAAAAACCATTAATTATCATAACATTAATAATTAGCCATTAGCCCAAAAACAAAGATAGCTATAACCATAAAACCTAGCATAACCATGAAAAGCATCCTAAGCGCCCATTTTGCCCCATTATTACACGTTATAATGAGAGGGATAGTAATATTTTTTTTTGGATGTGTGGTTAAAAAAAAATGGAAAAGTTTTTGGGTTAACATGTAATATTGTTTAATTGGAGAATGTGTGGGATGAGAGAGAAAAATGAATTATAATTTAATGCGGAATAATGGGGTCAAACGGGGGCTAAAAATTAACTTAATTATTTAGAACAAACAGATCCAATCATTTAACAAGTGAGACTAGTTAACAGTCATGCCATCAACACAGCACTCAAAGGGAAAGATCAAAAATTAAACAGCTGGTTTTTACAATTAATCCAAAATTGAAGAAACCAATCGTTTCTGCTTGTCCACAATCATAAAAAAAAATACAAAATTCAGACTTTTGATCGAGGCGTAAAATAAATGAAAGATAATTATACAAACCCAAATTCATGTTAAATCTAAAAAAAAATTACACCTTAGATGATTAATTCTCAAGCATCTGGAAGAGTAGATGTTTCAAAATTAATTTCAACAGAAAACAAGACAATTTCGAGGAAACGTAGACAACGGCAGTAGTATTTTCCTCTTTCGTTTCATTATTCAAATAAAATTGGAAAAAAAAAAACAATTTCTAACCCTAGTTTTTAAGGATAATTTAAACTCGATTACTAGGTAAACAGGAACGGTAATTCGAACCTCTGGAGAAATATTTTATGCTTCTGCGCCCTCAGGAGAACGAGGAGAATGAGAATTGAAGAACGGTGGCGTTAGGTTTTATTGCCCTGGAGGGTTTTAACTTNTATGATAGAGGTGCATTTTATAACTTTTATGGACATCAGTCTCCAGGTGTTGTGCATGAACCTTTTGAAGCACTAACTAATCCTAAATATGAAGAGCATCGCACATGACAAGGTATGAATTAGTTTTTCCTTGCAAATGATATCAATTAAACCCAAGACTGGATATTGAGTACCTGGAGCTTCAGACTATCGCATCCACCTCCTAGAAGTTTAGTTAGCAAATACAATTCTTGTTTGAAGAATAAAAATATTTGAGAAGCGTAAGAATCATTGTATAAAAAGAAGAATCTAAACAACCATTTCATAATAAGTAAATCTAGGACATCAGATACAGGCACACCATCTGCACTTCTTTGATTCCATGAAGTAATTCACTTCAACTCAACAACCTCAATTGCAATAATTCAATCAATTCTTTTTTCTAATATAAGAGAACATAAAGGAAAAAAGATTGCCCTATTTATTACATGTGACACAACTGAGATAACATAGCTGAAATCAGCATAACTTGATCAGATAATAACAAAAGCACATCAGTAATTAACACAAATAACATGACTCAAGACAACATAGTTTATTCGGACTAAAAAACCATTAATTATCATAACATTAATAATTAGCCATTAGCCCAAAAATAAAGATAGCTATAACCAGAAAACCTAGCATAACCATGAAAAGCATCCTAAGCGCCATTTTGCCCCATTATTACACGTTATAATGAGAGGGATAGTAATATTTTTTTTTGGATGTGTGGTTAAAAAAAATGGAAAAGTTTTTGGGTTAACATGTAATATTGTTTAATTGGAGAATGTGTGGGATGAGAGAGAAAAATGAAATATAATTTAATGCGGAATAATGGGGTCAAACGGGGGCTAAAAATTAACTTAATTATTTAGAACAAACAGATCCAATCATTTAACAAGTGAGACTAGTTAACAGTCATGCCATCAACACAGCACTCAAAGGGAAAGATCAAAAATTAAACAGCTGGTTTTCACAATTAATCCAAAATTGAAGAAACCAATCGTTTCTGCTTGTCCACAATCATAAAAAAAAATACAAAATTCAGACTTTTGATCGAGGCGTAAAATAAATGAAAGATAATTATACAAACCCAAATTCATGTTAAATCTAAAAAAAAATTACACCTTAGATGATTAATTCTCAAGCATCTGGAAGAGTAGATGTTTCAAAATTAATTTCAACAGAAAACAAGACAATTTCGAGGAAACGTAGACAACGGCAGTAGTATTTTCCTCTTTCGTTTCATTATTCAAATAAAATTGGAAAAAAAAAAACAATTTCTAACCCTAGTTTTTAAGGATAATTTAAACTCGATTACTAGGTAAACAGGAACGGTAATTCGAACCTCTGGAGAAATATTTTATGCTTCTGCGCCCTCAGGAGAACGAGGAGAATGAGAATTGAAGAACGGTGGCGTTAGGTTTTATTGCCCTGGAGGGTTTTAACTTATGACTTTATTTTCCCGAAACAAAAAGAGCGAGAATGAAAATGAAAACAAAAACAAAAATATCTTGGACAAAAAATGAAATATATTTGTACTATCAACACTACTTTTGCTTTGTTCCTCGCCTCCGCGGGTACAATTAAAGTGTCACGTCGCAGTCCACATAAAAAAAAAAGTCAACAAAAACTCAAATGATCAAAAGCAAAGAAGTCAAAACAAAGGCTAAAATTCATGTGTCAAAGCACTTCTTGAATGGCCGAAACTGTAAGCCGAAGCACTACAAGAATACCTATGAAACCCAACAATTCTCTCCCATCGGTAGAAGCCAAAGCTCTTGACACTGAGGACCACCAATACGAAGTTCTCTCCGATAGAAGCCCTCAGTTCTCCCGAAGTTCCTGACACTGAAGTCGTCTCTTACAAGATCTGTAGAAATTTTTTAGGAATAATTAATGTAACATTTGTAATAAAGAATGTTAGGTGTGTCAGCCTAATGTATAGGGCGGCTCACCTGTTGTCAATGTATTTATTGTATGACAGACTTAGTGATGTGAAATTTCAGTCTAGGAAATGAGGTCATGTGGTTCTGATTCAATGGACACCACGTCGGCCATAATGCTATAAATAGGTGGTCTTTGTAAATGGAAAACGACTCTTTTGGATCTTTGGCAGTCATTTGAATACTGATATATAAGAAAATACTCAAAGACAAATACTCTCAACAAAACTTTTTGCTTGTTCCACATTTGTTAACTAAATCCCAAGTTATTTACGTTTTATTGGTGATTGTTTATTAGTGCAATCAATCTAATCTCTACCATCGATACCTGAACATTTTTGTCTCGCATTGTAAAGTATCTCATGTGTTCACGTATTCTCCCTTTTTTCACTTGACCTCCGATCAAAAAGTGTCACAATTTCTTGAGTGAGTCCGACATCTGTTGTCCATGTTTACGTTACGTTTTTCGGGGTCAACAACTTTCTAGCATTAGTGATGTTACGTGTTAGCATATTTGGTCCTATTAAATGGATCATAAAACTTTATATTTAATTGAATCTACGATTTAACGACATAAATAATGTTACATAAACTAGTGTTAAATAGCATGACCGTTCTACTATAGGAGGAGGGTCTTTTCTCCTAAAGAATATTCATCCTCATCATCACTATTTGTTGTTATAAAAAAAATGACTTTTTCGATGCGAGATTTCATTTAAAATTGAGTCGTCAATAATATTAAAGGGTGTTTGGTGGAGATTAAAATTAGATTTTTAGTGGATTGTGATAAAAAATTTTGAAATGTGTGGTATTATTGCCCTGGAGGGTTTTAACTTGTGACTTTATTTTCCCGAACTAAAAAGAGCGAGAATGAAAATGAAAATGAAAATGAAAACAAAAACAAAAATATCTTGGACAAAAAATGAAATATATTTGTACTATCAACAATACTTTTGCTTTGTTCCTCGCCACCGCAGGTACAATTAAAGTATCACGTCGCAGTCCACATAGAAGAAAAAGTCAACAAAGACTCAAATGATCAAAAGCAAAGAAGTCAAACAAATGCTAAAACTCATGTGTCAAAGCACTTCTTGAATGGCCGAAACTGTAATCCAAAGCGCTACAAGATTAAGAATACCTATGAAACCCAACAATTCTCTCCCATATGTAGAAGCCAAAGCTCTTCACACCGAGGACCACCAATACGAAGTTCTCTCTGATAGAAGCCCTCAGATCTCCCGAAGTTCCTGACACTGAAATTGTCTCTTACAAGATATGTAGAAAATTTTTAGGAATAATTAATGTGACATTTGTAATAAAAAATGTCAGGCGTGTCAGCCTAATGTATAGGGCGGCTGGCCCGTTGTCAATGTATTTATTGTATGACAGACTTAGTGATGTGAAGTTTCAATCTAGGAAATGAGGTCATGTGGTTCTGATTCAATGGACACCACGTCGGCCATAATACTATAAATAGGTGGTCTTCGTAAATGGAAAACAACTCTTTTGGATCTTTTGAATACTGATATATAAGAAAATACTCAAAGACAAATACTATCAACAAAACTTTTTGCTTGTTCCACATTTGTTAACTAAATCCTAAGTTATTTACGTTTTATTGGTGATTGTTTATTAGTGCAATCAATCTAATCTCTACCATCGATACCCGAACATTTCTGTCTCGCGCTGTAAAGTATCTCCCGTGTTCACGTATTCTCCCTTTTTCACGTGACCTCCGATCAAAAAGTGCCACAATTTCTTGAGTGAGTCCGACATCTGTTGTCCATGGTTACATTACATTTTTCGGGGTCAACAACTTTCTAGCATTAGTGATGTTACGTGTTAGCATATTTGGTCCTATTAAATGGATCATAAAACTTTATATTTAATTGAATCTACGATTTAACGACATAAATAATGTTACCTGAACTAGTGTTAAATAGCATGACCATTGTACTATAGGAGGGGGTCTTTTCTCCTAAAGAATATTCATCCTCATCATCACTATTTGTTGGTATAAAAAAATGACTTCTTCGATGCGAGATTTCATTTAAAATTGAGTGGTCAATAATATTAAAAGGTGTTTGGTGGAGATTAAAATTAGATTTTTAGTGGATTGTGAAAAAGTTTTTGAAATGTGTGGTTGAAAAGATGTGGGATCTATAAAAAATGTAATTAATATTGATTGTTTGACTTTGACTTAGATTAAAATCAAATTTTAATCCGGCCCAAACAGACCCTTAACATTGTTCAATCTTTGTACCAAGCCACCATCCAACATTTGTCATCGTGTCCTCTGTTGTAGAACATAGAGACTCTAGACTAGAGCGGTGGGGTTTAGAGTAGTTGTCAAGTTAGGATAGTGGTGGCGGATAGAGATGGTGGCTATAAGGATGCAAACAATAACTGTATTGTGGACAACCAATTTTAGTTAAGAGTGGGAATACAAGTGGTAGTCATAACATGCCCACCTTGAGATGCAAACTGCGTCACCGATTTCTTTTCATAAAGCAAAGGAACGGAACAAATTCAGATTTCATTTGACTTCTAAATCCGTCAATTGCTATACAAATTACAAGCTTGGAATGGACTTGGCTCGAATGAACTGTTTGAGAATGGCTTTCTCTTCATCGATGCGTTTTTTCTCTTCGCGATCTTTTGGTTTCACTTTCCTCCTCTCTTCTAACATCCATCTGAATAATTCACGCTGCTGATCCTCTGGTATTGGTGCACGTAACTTTGCAGGCTCCATGACCGGTGTTGGAGAATGTGACTTCTCAGTAACTGTAGCACCTGCAGCCGAAGTTGAGACTGGAGCGGTAGGAAGATCATGGGACTCGGCTTCTTCTGTATACACATCTTTCTTCTTCGTCCTCATGACAAAATAAGCTACACGAAATACACTTGTTAAGTCATTAATTTTATGGAGGAGAAAAATTACTTCATGAAGTGTCACATCCAATGTCAAAGCAACGATTTCCTTAAATGGAAATTTTAGAAGTTCAAATTTGTAATGATATCTAACATCAAAAGCCATGTGAAGTATATGTAGATATCCATACCCAACGGCAGATAAAGTCAAATATCAGAAAAAAACAGAAGAAATATTGTCACTAAAAAGAAGTGATGATTATATAGAACTAGTGAGTGCACGTACCGTAGTATAGTTGGCTGCATAATAGTGTTGACTGATTTTTGATTATTTTTTAAGACATCACTAATTAAATCTTATTTAACAAAATTTCTTCAATAAAACTTGAAAGTTAAAACGAAAAATAAAACTCGATTTCTAAAAGTTGAAACCAATAAAACTTTGTAGGTAGCATAATCCCCATCTGGATATCATGAAACTTCAAACCAATAAAACTCGATTGCTTGCTCAATTTCAAAGCCAATCAATGCGTATCTTAAGTCATCTCATCGGTCGGGGCAACGCCACCGGCAATGATCGATCTCACCGGTCAGATCGCGCGTCAAAGGGCAGCGCCCCCTCGTTGGGTCCGGGGGCAACGCCCCTGGTGGTGATTATAAATGAAATTCAGTATTTGGCAAAATTATTACTAAGAAATAATTAAGTAATAATTCCATGTGGTGTTTTGTTCCTTTTATATTGTAGTGATCAAATATAGAAAAAGAATTTCCAATACATCTTATTACAATATAGTTATCAATTATAACATAATCTAATTAAAAAAAAAAAAAGAAACCATCTGGAATTTATTCAACTTACTTTATTTCTCTCCACAACCTTTCGGAGAATTTTAGGCTAATAAAAGAATATGTAATGTGTATGTTAATGTAAAACGGTGGTGGCATGATGTCTCCGGGACGGAGACATGCCTGGTTTTTTTTTTTTTTTTCCATTTTGAGTCAAAATTCACAAATTCATTCCCAACAACTCCTTGAAAATTTATCATTAATTTCATTATTCATTCATAGCAATTCACAAATCAAATATTAAAATCTGTAAAAATATATTAAAACCTCAATCTGTAAATTTCGAATATCATCTCCAGTGGCTGGATCTCTATGCATTATTGTTCTTCTCTGTCTCGCACGAAGACACCAACGATGTCTACGTGCGATATGGAGACACTGACAATGTCTCCTTGCCCATTAATTTAAGGAAGAAAGAACATACCTTTCAGGCGTCAACGACACTTAGTGCAGAGGCAGTGACGGACAGACAACGATAAAGACGAAAACTGCTGGTAGCACAGGTTAGAGATTTAGATGAATTAGGCGGATATTGGATGCTTAAGCCTGAGAAATCTAGGGAATGCTGGTTATAAAAAAACGTCGTTTTGATTGACAATAGGAGAATCCGACACGTGGCAAAAGAAAATAGACATGCATCCTTCAGGAACTACAGCAGTAGAAGACAAAAGAAAATAGTGTATTTAAGAGGCTCGACAAAAAATGTTGTCAACGAGTAGAGTTCGATATATTACTTGCAACTGGGTAAATCGTTAAAATAAACCCATATCATATGTGAGTTTCGACATTGAGTTGCATAAAAATGAATAGCGAAGACTAGATGACACATATCTGGTAACCTGCAACGTACACTGTTTGCAGGCTTGAGTCTTTTATTTTATGATGAATTATTGAATCTCTTTCATTCCATTCCCACATTTAAAATTGAGCATATGTTTGAGCCGCATTATTTTTTTCATTCTCATTATTCTACTCATTTTCAACCACACATTTTTCAATAAAATAATATTTTCCATCACATCAATAATTCTTCCTTCTTTTTCAACCACACATTCTCCATCAATCTATTATTTCAAATTATATTCTTCTAAAATAATGTGGCTCAAACACACAAAAGAAATGAATAACTCAGTTCTAAAAAATTAAGCCACTATTTGACAACCATTATTTGGGTAAATGGAGTTTTGAATAGTGGTTTTTTTTTTAAGAATGAGTAGTTAAAAGTGGAAAAAGTTTTGGGTTTCCGTGAAAAATATTTTATTGTGTTAACATATAGTTGAAAATGAATATGTAAAAAAAAAAAAGTTGAAATAATGATTGTCAAAAGGGAATAAGTTTGAACCTAAGTATCACATTCTTCAACATTTCAAACGGTCTACTTCCCACATCAATAGCTTGGATTCACACGTAATAGCAAAACCAACTTCCTAATTTTATTCTTCCCACAAAACCTCAGAGAAACTAGAAAAGAAAACGATTGTTCTAGAAATAAATAATTGTTTTAAAAAATAATAGTAATATAAGAAACTTAGTAGGATGCTAATAAAACACAGGTACACAAGTGTACCACAAAAAACACCACAAAAATTTTCAACCCAATTTGCAAAAAGGAGAGAAATGAGAAACTTCAAAGGGCACTGATAAAAAAAAGAGTGAAGTAGAATGGAAAAGGAACAGTGCATTGAATTAGGTTTAGTTTCAAAGATGTTCTAGTACTCTATGTTACTGCTTTAGTAGTTTTCCTTCTTAAATTAGACTACGTGAAACCCTATATAAAGAGGGTTTATGCATTTTATTACAAATCAAACTATATTTCTCTCCTCCAATTTCTGCTTCCCCCTCTGATTCCTCTCCCCCCCTCTTCTTGTCTTTCTCACTCTCCCTCTCTTTCTCTTCTCCTCTTCTTCTCTCCCATTCCCCTTCTTCTATAGATCTTGTAAAAGCTTGCATAGTCAATCACAGGAGAAAACATTCGCCTTTAAACCAAATAAAAACATTAGATAAATTCAGTACAGTCCACATCCATTATAAGTAATGTATAGTAAATTAAATAAACAAATAAATAAATCATCAAAAAATATATACTTCGTGCAAGCTCTTTATAATGCTCTGATGTCACTCCCAGATTCCGAAAGTCCAAACAAATTCTGTGATATATGAACTCCTACTCCCAGACCCAAATTTTCAACTCAAACCATCAAAACAAAATTAAACAAGGGGCCACAATTTACGAAATTAAAACAGCTCTCACATTCTTATAGCAATTTCCTTTCCAACTAGTACAATATTGACCCTACAAGTCTCTTAACAACTATTGAATTTTGGAACACCAATTAGTTTATCACCTCTACATTCTTCCAATTCAGTCATTTTTCTATTTAGTTGCACGTCATAATCCACCAATATAGATCCCTCTTCCAATGACTTGAATCTTGACAGCATTTCCCTCATGTGTGTGAGTGTTGACACGGATATCTCCCAAACCCAAAAACTAATGTCTAAATATGAATCCCAGAAATAATATTTGACGGAAAAAGCTAAGACGGGGGAAAATGAAAAACCCCGGAAGAGATATTCAATACACAAGATTCAACATTCAAAGACACCATTTACCTACACACACACACACACACACACACATATATAGAGAGAGAGAGAGCGAGCGAAACAAACCTCCAACAGTTAAATTGACAGCCAATAGAAGTGGCCAGATGAACTTATAGCGGCGGGCAAATGATTCTTTAGGCGGATGAGGCGACGGCGGCGGAGGAGGTGGAGGAGGCGGAGTCATAGCAGCCTGAGACCCCGTTGACGGCCCCGACGACGCCATCGATGATGGTGCAGATGCCTGTTGTTGCTGATATCGCTTCAGCTGTGCTGTTAATCGTTCCGTAATGGAAAAATCAAATTGAACAAATAATTTGATATTAGAAGAGGAATTGATTCTTTTTGTTCAGTAAAAGCTACTCAAAATATATATACCTTTCTTTGGTTTGTTGGTGTAGAGCTTCGGCTCTTCGCTCATTGTTGAAAAAGCTCAGTTANGGATGTGGTGCAACGACAGAAAGTTCAGTGACCATTAAGAGAAAATTGAAAGTTTAGTGAGTAAGTCGTGACCATGTTAAAGTTCAGTGACCATTCAAACCTTTTACTCCACATTCTTATAGCAATTTCCTTTCCAACTAGTACAATATTGACCCTACAAGTCTCTAAACAACTATTGAATTTTGGAACACCAATTAGTTTATCACCCTCTACATTCTTCCAATTCAGTCATTTTTCTATTTAGTTGCACGTCATAATCCACCAATATAGATCTCTCTTCCAATGACTTGAATCTTGACAGCATTTCCCTCATGTGGGTACGAGTGTTGACACGGATATCTCCCAAACCCAAAAACTAATGTCTAAATATGAATCCCAGAAATAAAATTTGACGGAAAAAGCTAAGACGGGGGAAAATGAAAAGCCCCGGAAGAGATATTCATTCCTGAGTAGCCCAGTAAAACCGGAACGTTCATCAAACGCAACTAATGTAACAAATACACAAGATTCAACATTCAAAGACACCATTTACCTACAAATACAAGAAACACACACACACATATATATAGATAGAGAGAGAGAGAGAGAGAGCGAGCGAAACAAACCTCCGACAGTTAAATTGACAGCCAATAGAAGTGGCCAGATGAACTTATAGCGGCGGGCAAATGATTCTTTAGGCGGCTGAGGCGGCAGCGGCGGAGGAGGTGGAGGAGGCGGAGTCATAGCAGCCTGAGACCCCGTTGACGGCCCCGACGACGCCATCGATGATGGTGCAGATGCCTGTTGTTGCTGATATCGCTTCAGCTGTGCTGTTAATCGTTCCGTAATGGAAAAATCAAATTGAACAAATAATTTGATATTAGAAGAGGAATTGATTCTTTTTGTTCAGTAAAAGCTACTCAAAATATATATACCTTTCTTTGGTTTGTTGGTGTAGAGCTTCGGCTCTTCGCTCATTGTTGAAAAAGCTCAGTTAGTTTCTCTCTCTCTCTCTCTCTCTCTCGGTATTGGGGACTGGAAATTGCTTACAATTTTCAGATGAATCGATCAATGGAGTAGTTTTCTTCATTTCTTTATCATTTCATAGGACTTTTGGGTTGAGCAACAAGCAATCAATTACGACGTCGCATCATCCGGATGCATTGCCTCTTTGGTCTCCTTTGCTGTACTATGATTGGTGCATAGCCTTGGGCATTGTCACTTGCTTTGTAACGTAAGACCGTGTTTGCCAAAAAAGCCTATGAATTTTTTTGTTGGGTAGTTAAAAATGGGAAAATTTGCACTCTTCATCCTCAACCTTTGCAGCCTATTACTAATCTATCATCAACCTTTTTTAGCTTCAGATCTCCCAACCTTTGACTTCACTGCAAATCACATCCTTCCATTCATTTCACAATTAAATCCGTGTAACATAAAGAGTGAAAGAGGAAGAAAACAACTAATGGTGTGTTCGGTAGAGATTAAAATTGAAAAACTATTCGTTATTGTTGACTTTTATTAGACGAGTGAGACCCAATAACGACTATATTTTCAACCTTAATTGAATTTTTTTTTTTTTTTATAAAAGACATTCCATAAAAGGTGCAAAACGCGGTTGCAAGGATGAAAACCTCCAAACACAGGCTCTCTAAATACAGACATAAAGAGAGATAAAGTGCCACCACGGCCAAATGAATGACCACTAAGTACAGACATGAACGAGCACAAATACATAACCCACAACAGACGATTCAACCAAAGTCAAATAACAGCTGTGACTTTACAATACAGGCAAACCCGATTGAAAGCCAACTATGCAATCAGCAATTTAGCATCCCCGCGAGGAGCGGACTTTGACTAGATTTCACAACCACAAAACAAACCACCCAACAANTAGACTTCACAACCACAAAACAAACCACCCAACAATCAACAGAAACAAACACAACTGAAACATCAAACCAAACAACCATCCAACACACCACCAAACACACACCAGTACACCTCCACCACCATCCCACTCCAGCGCCCAAAGACGAGCCAAAACGGCTCACCGGCGAAGCTCCGACAGCGGCAGACAGGGCACCAGGCGCACCCAACCGACCCAAAACGGAACCACCCGCCGGTAAAAGATGCGATGGCGCTGCTCCTACAGGCTCTTGCCCCCAACACCGAGTGGTCCGAGACACGGGGAGAAACACCACCCCACTCACGCCGGCCACCACCACAAACCACAACCCCAAACTGAACAAGAAAAAAACACAAAAACGAAAAGGGAGGGGGGAGCCGAAGCTCCCAACCCCAGGAGAAATCACGGGAAAAGGTCGATTCAAGAGCACAGGCAAGAAAGAAGCTGGAGAAAAAGGGAAGAGAAGACCAAAACCAACCCACCTCTACAGGGGAAACCCGAGAGGAGAGAACCAGGAGGAAAACCTGGGAAGAAAACCTCACCGTTTCGCAAGAAAGGGAGGACTGAAAATCCAACCTTAATTGAATTTTAAACTTAGTCAAACGTGCTCTAAATAAAAATGGTAAAATTACAATAAGAGTCCCACATATTACAAATATGAGCTGAATTAGAATTAAGTTGAAGACTCCTCAAACTTACATCTAACTTCTCGAAGACTCCAGAATCCCCTAAGAGTATTACCATTTTGCCCCCTGTTTGATGCACATTCTTAGTCCAATAGTGCATTTTTTTGTTTGATGTGATGAAAAATGTGTGGTTAAAAAAGAAGGCAAAGTTATTTATGTGATGAAAAATATTATTTTATTAAAAAATGTGTGGTTGAAAATGAGTAGAAGAATAAGAATGAAAAAAATAATGTAACTCAAACAGGGCCTCTCTTTCATGCCAAAACACTCCCATCGAAGGTACTTTTTTGTAGTATCATTCAACCTTAAACAACATTATGTACCAAATCATTTTAAGATAAGCTTTCTTGCATTTATCAATATTTCATAAAAGAAAACTGTTCATTTAGTTTGAAGGTCGAAAATTTTTGTTTCACCTTTCAGCTTCCTGATCACCCTTCATCGACAGCTACTCTGATTTCACTGAAATAAGAAGGAAAAGCATCGAAAAATGTGTAGAAAATATAGCTCAATCTCACTTGCAGTGTCACATAAATGTCTAGTAAAGTAATAGCTTAAAATGTGTTCACATTCTACTTTCTATTCAAAATAGTCCTCAAAAATATTACATACGGAAGACTAATAACATTACAATACTATTTTCCTTCCAAGCTTAAGAGTACCGAGAGAGGCTTCCATTTTTTTCTTCCCCCGTATCAAGCGCGTTATCAGTTCCAAGAACGTCCACCTCCAAAACCTCTCCCACGATCTCGGAAACTTCCATGACCTATTAATGACACAGGAAGAAAGTAGAAGCGGGCTTGAGATCCATTTAAGTCGAAAAAAGTTTTAAAGTTTCTTTTAAGCAACTTTTTGTTTCCAAATGTTGTTAGTTTTGAATTAGACTTATATTCGACATTGACGAACTAAAAATTTATTAATTGTAAAGCTTACATATTAACTTATTTACTTTTTCCAACACGTTCTTACAAAAGATAAAAGAGTGTATACACACGTGTAAGGTTTACCTGGAGGAGGAGGTGCACCACGTCCCATGGCTGCAAGCTCAGGACTGACCTTTTGTCCAGCCTCCTCGAGGATGCTAATGAGTTCCTTTGCAAATCGGGCATTTGCAACTGTGAAAAAAGTGTATGCTGTTCCTTTGGCACCAGCCCTTCCTGTTCGACCGATACGATGAACATAATCCTCGAGAGATCCCGGGAAGTCATAGTTGATGACATATTTCACATCCTTCACATCTGCCAATTCAAAAACAAACTACATAGAATAAAATACTTCCTCCTGAAGTAGTAGTCCAGTTCCAAGTTTACGTCAGTCGAGCCTTTTTTACCAAATCTCAGAATCTAAATCTTGTCTATATAAGCCTTAAAATTCACATTTGGTCAGTTTGAAACTGAGGTAGATTTACACCACAGAACAATTCTAGACACACTGCGACTGCACAAGAGCATTTGATGCCACAGTAGTGCAATCTTCTGAGAGAGAGCAATTGAAAAAAATAACAATGGCAGAGGAAATCAGCTAACATTATGATGCTAAGCATCAACAGAGCATATCTCGCCCACTCAAATTGAACTACTCAGGAAACCACTCATTCATCATCTAAAATGGTGGAAATTTGAGTGGATCGCGGCACAAAAAATTGGTACAAAGAAAAGGAAAAATGGAGAAGTAAAAAATTACTAGCTGCGTAACTTCTAATTTTTAAGAGCGGGATAAGATTTGTTTGGACTGTACTACAGACAAGAAAAGAAACCCCATCAGGAAACTTAGAGAATATTACTCCATATAATGTTTCCCCTCTTTAGGGAAAGAGGATCCATAATGGAAAAGAACAATAGAAAGATGAGACATTGAAAATTATGTGTTCTGTGTGTGTGTGTGTTGTGTGTGTGTGTTGTGTGTGTGTGTGTGTGTGTGTTGTGTGTGTGTGTTTTTTTGTGTGTTTTGTATGTGTGTTTTGTATGTGTGTTGTGTGTGAGTTGTGTGTGTGTGTGTGTTGTGTGTGTGTGATTTGGGAAAATAGATTTTGTAATAGCATTTTTTGGGAATATGAGGTTAAAAAATAGGGAAAAAATTTGAGTTTATATGAATTATTTTATTGGGAGAATATGTGGTTGAAAATGAGTTTGGGGAAGAATGTGGCTCAAACAGGAGCTTAAATTTACCAAGGAAGAAATAGGAAGTCCTCATAATTTTTCCCACTCCAAAAGCCAAATAAAAACATATTTCCGTCAATCGAATATGCGTGAATTTTTCAGTTAATGGGAATTGAAAGACGCAGATGAAACTAACACTCACTGTATCAAGCTATGTTTTTACAATTTATCTAATCTAATACTACCTAGATCTGTATATATTTAACAGGCATGCAGCCAACAAATATTAAAACAAAGAAGCCACTAAAGATCATGTAACATTTACTTTGCAAGGCATAGACATACCTAGACCCCGAGCTGCAACATCAGTTGCCGTCATTATGGGACTCTTGCCAGCCTTAAATTCTGAGAGGACCCAATCCCTTTCTGCTTGACTTTTGTCTCCATGAATAGATAATGCAGGCCAACCATCCATGCGGAGCTGCCTAGTTACTTGATCACAGCCCTTTTTGGTGTCCATGAATATCAAAATCCGGCTTCCGTCCATAATGTCCTCCAACAACTTCACTAATCTGAATTCATGGACAAAATCGATTTGAAATATTAAACCAACATAAAGGATACAAATACTAGAGACTTCTTCCTAAGGTATAGAAGTTCAACCAGAAAAGAAGCGTTGGCCTACTTATTATATTTTTGGTTCTCAGAAATAATTTCAACATGCTGGCGAATTGCATGATTGGCTTTTAAATCTTCAGAACCAATAATCACCTGTCCCAAACAAAATAACATAGAAAACAAAAGTTACCCATGATATATTACTCAGTAACTTGAAATTGCACAGCAAAAATGTTTAAACGAGCCAATTCAAGCAAGGCTTAATGATATCAAACTCATCTAGATTTATAAAAGAGCATCAGGCATTGCTTAGAGCTTCATTACATTATACTTCCAGCTGAGCTCAAACCCAGCTTCTTCAGAGCCAAATCTCTGCCAAGCTAGAACGAGCTGACTGATTTACGAATTAGTTATTAACAGCATTTTCGAATTGCTTCTTTTACTTGTAAAAGATATTTCTACTCTCTTTGGGGATAGCTGTAGATGCAAAGTTGATTTTGTTGGCGTAAGAGAGGTGGGGCATATGGAGTTTGGTCGCTTTCGTTTTGGCAATAGGGCTGCATGATTAGTTGGTAGGAGGATGAGTGGAGAGAGGTTAATAGCGAAAACGGCAGGAGTAGAATGTCTCGAGGATGTGCCAATTTTATTACTTGAACGATCAAAAGCTAGACTTCAACACCTGTTTTGTTGTCCGATCTGGGATTGTTTTCACGAATATTCTATTAAAGAAAAGGGCAAAAACATCCAACTCGACATATTTTACATTTATGTTATTCAAACACTAGGTTATGAAATGGCAATTTAGTTCTTAGTACTAGTGTTGGACTTTGCTATTCGAAAAAAAAAAAAACTACCCAAAAAAATTGATGTAGGAATTTTAATTGCTATAGAGCACTTGTTGGGGTTTGATAATATAAAATTGCAAATAACTGACACAACGTCCAATACCACACAATAAAACGATATGATGCCATTCCTGCACTGCTGATGACTCCCTAACAACTCCGTCTAATTTGCCGAACTCCTTTTGAGTTTTTAGCATCTGAAAGCTCATTATAAGCCAAGAAAGGCAAATATCTGTTCTGGGTCTCAAACAGCTTATAGCTTTAAAAGAAAGGTCTAGCTTCAGCTATTTTAGGCAGTACAAAATGGGACCAACTAGCTTCGCAAGTAGATCTGAAAAAGTTGGCTAGCCTATAATTTGTTGTATATAGATTAAAAAAAAAACCTATAACAGTATTGCACTCTAGTAGTCAAGCATGACTTATCCATCATATATGTTACAGGGGAAGGTCATGACTTCGTCCACACCACAAGAAAGTCCACTTACTTTATATGGATTAAAAAGGAATTGACGTGCAAGCTGTTCAACTTCCTTGGGCCATGTGGCACTCCAATATAACGTTTGACGATCTGGGCGAATCTGCAGATATCATGGAGTTAAAAATCAGTTGAACACATTGGCATCAACAAAATGATGGAACAGGAAAATAACGAGGAATGTGAATTTCCAAATTATGCTGCATCAATGTTCAAACAGGAAGCTTCCTATACTTGTTCTGTGTAAAATTCAGTACAAACCAAGCACAAATGACGTTTCCCAAAAACCAATTGCAGCCAAATGGACAACATAATAGGATTCTCTCTGAATGTTCCTAACGGAAATTTTCCGTATTTCTTTCCGATAAATAAATGCTTGTCTCAAAGTTGCTAACTAATCAAAACTTTAAATTAAGAAATTGATAATCAAAGAATTTTGTCAAACAACAGAACAATTATACAGGTGAGAGATACATGCCAAAACCCTAATTAACAACCCATTATTCACCTCAACGATGACTTATAATTCAGATATCTTCTTATCTGAATCACATTTTAGTACCGTACATCTTAGTACTGATGAAAGTTCAAAAAACATATATACTCAATAATCATTTTAGTACCGTGTATCTTAGTACTGATGAAAGTTTAAAAACATATATACTGATTAATGCTCAAGAGCATCAATCTAGAAACAGACCTGATTAATAATTTTTCGAATCTGAGGTTCAAAACCCATATCTAGCATCCGATCCGCCTCATCCAACACAAGATATGTAACCCTTCGCAGGTTTGTATGATGAGACTCCAACATATCAATCAGCCTCCCAGGAGTCGCAATAACAACTTCGACGCCTAGTTGGGAACCAAGATGATAATGAGTAAAATGATAAATGGGGTAACATTTAAGAATACAAGTTAAAAAAGAAGTAGCAGAAGGAGATACCCGATCCATGAACATCACGATACAGTAGTAAAGTCACGTTGAGCTTATCACCACCTACCTTTCTGGAGATCACGAACTTGGGGTCCTTTTGGGACCCCACCATATATGCACGTATTCTTAATCCTTGACGATGCACCAAATTTAGTAGCTTCTTGCTGAATCTGAACAGCGAGTTCACGAGTTGGGGCTAAAACTAAAACTATTGGACCATCTCCCGGAGCTAACAAAGAACACATAAGATTTCACAAATACTATGTTGTCCAAGGACTGACAAATGATAAAAAATAATATGTAGATGCCTATACATACATACATACATATATATACACACACACATATATATATATATATTAAAATCCACATACACGAGCATCAGAAAAAATATCATAATAATGACATTACTGAACCCATAATACCTAAAAATGGTTGAGCATTAACATGGACAATTGCAGGTAAGAGATAAGCAATTGTCTTCCCTGACCCTGTTTCTGCAATACCAATAAGATCACGGCCTTTCAAAGCCATGGGCCAACCTTGAGCTTGAATGGGTGTAGGTTCAGTAAAACCAGCCTTTACAATTTCTTGCATAACATAATCTGAATTGTCAACACTGAAGAGCTTTAGAACCAAACTAAGATGAAAAACCAAAACAATAAATGTCATGCAATACCAAAGAAGAGTTTCTCGCAAAATAAATAAACTAACTGCTTGTAAAAGAGAGTAACTCCATGTAGATCGACAGGGAGTAAATGCCAAAAAAAAAAAGACAAAGATAAAGATTGCCCAGCAAACACCGAAAGTTCGTTTTGTGTATATATTCTCTACCAAAAGATCTTGATGGAGAAAGGCTTTTTGAGCATTGATCTGATCTAAAGTTTTCTAAAAAGAACTTATTCAGACCATATAATTTATAGCTGTTTCACTTTATAGATGCCTAAAAATTAATATGAAGTAAAAACATTCTCATGTGCACACACTGCAGCTTCCCAATTGATGCTGACCCCAACAAACCAAGCATGGGCCAAAAATACTTCGCACAAACCCGCCAGCTGATTATATCCGTTCAAACAGATCGGTGAAATATAAATAAAGCCAAGCATGCTGGAAGAGAAAATTGCGTTTCCCATTTTGTTATGTATAACATAACTTAATGGAAACAATATTTTTCTCAGGAAGCAGAATCCTAATATAAGCTACCTCCATCTTTAATTCAATAAGGTACAAATTCATCAGTGGGGGTTCCTTGGTAGACTTAGGTAAATTCCATTTTCTTTTATGGTGCTTTCTTACAGTTCCTGTCAATATCGCACTCGCCTAACTGGAGCTGTGCAACAACTTTTCTTGTATTTTGCCTTTCATTTCTGCAGTCATGACCTTGCTATAGTTCATATATATTCAGCACAGATGGCGTCAGACAGTCCGGGAAGACCACTGAAAAGTAGTAAACAGACATTCGTGTACATCTTTACCCTAAATAATCTCGACCAATTCAGAAACTAACTGTTACAATTAACCAACCTATCTGAAAATAGAGAGTTCTATTTTATCAATAGAAATATATATAATACAAGACAATCCCACTTGCATACAATACCAACTATCCACATATTTAAAATTTTATGCATGAAAAGAAAAATCCGCTGGGATATACCTGGAAACCCAACATCCTGAAAAGCCTTCACTGGCTTGGGTACGTCTTTTCCTTCTACAGTAATCTCCCGTCGCCGCCTATACTCCTCGACTTCACTCTCAGACATTGCCGCAACTGACGGCGACTCCACATAAAAGTTCTTCTCAAACGGAGTCAACCCATCCAAATCCGATTTCCGCTGTGACGCCTCTGAAGAGCCCTCGTAATCTCTTTTGATCGACGATGATGAAGACGAACGATAACTCGAGCCCCCACCAAACCCCGAATCACTAAAATAACTCGAAACCATAAAATCAAATTAAAATAATTTCATAAAGAAAAAAATAAGACCCACTTAAAATTTAGTAGATATAATAGTTGTATGTATGTAAATATGGATGTAAATTGAGGGTTAGTGTTTATTACGTTCGGCGGTCGCGATAGGAGCCGGGGTCGGCGGAGCGACTGTCGTAGCGGCTCATGATCTGTGGGTTCTGCGAGCAACTCTGATTGAGATAATGGAAATTGACGGCGAGGTTTTGAAGAATGGTAGAACGGTGCTACTGGGCAGAGGCAAATGAGGGAAAATTGAGCGTCTGGGGGGTGGGGTTGAAATTTCATGGTTGGATTCTTTTTTCATTTTTTTTCCTTTTTTTTATTTTTTTAAAAAAAATAATAAATTGTGTGATTAAAAATTTGTGAATAAAAATTAAAATCAATTATTGATTTTGACTTGGATTAAAAAATAAAAAGATTAATTCATATTATTTTTCTTTTTCAATGTGGTTCATAATTATTTTTAATTCAATTTGTCAAATAGTCTGTCGAGAATGATCGAGGAGAATAGGGATAGCCAATACCGATCATGCTCAAGACAGTCGTCCCTATCCATGCAAAGTTCAAGAGTCGAATAGGAATTAAAAAAAAATCATTTATCTTCTCATTTAGTTTATATATTTATTTTTAGATACAGTTTAAACTTAAGAACAAGTAAAGAAAATAAAAAATAAGATCACTATCCCACCAAACTAGAACTGACGAGGACGAAGTATTTTCCCACAACAAAATTGTTAATGTGAACGTTGTTAGGGTTTAACCTTAAAATATAACCTTGAACTCACTCGACTCAAAAAAGAGTTTATTGATAATGTAAGACAAATGACGTCTCGAGTCGACATCGTATCATCCACCAATAGGCAAAGATAGTGATTGCCCAATAAAGACTACAAAACTTTGTCCTAAGAGAAATGATGACACGAACGGACGAACTCAATAGCCATTGAAACCTTCAAACGAAGAGATGACAAACAAATCGAAATAGAAACATGTTGCATGATGTGAAAAAGGGTGTCGTACTCTGATTATCGTGGCTATTAATAGGTATAATGGTCTTCTATAGAAGGCCGAGCTCAATCGGTTCCTTGTAAAATATTATAAAAACATTCTTAATGAAAATTTTCTTATGATATTTCAACAACTACTCCATTTAATTTCCCTTAAATTAGACTTGCCAAGTCGATTTTTATAATCAACGGAAATAAAACTGTCAGATGAATTTCTCAAAATAATTGCTTTATAAAGGATTCAAAATGGTAAATCTCAGAAAGGAAATGTTAGATGGTTGCTTCCAGGAAAAAAAATTGTTAAATGGTTGGAGCTGTGATAAACATTGATATGATCAATGCAAGTTCTATGGAAATTAGAATTAATAATTAATTTGCCAAATTTATTAATTTGAAAAGCTCATTATCCAAGAAGAATCATGTCACTTGTACAATCTTAATCGACAACTTTTCAGTTAGTTGCATCGCCTTCATCCATTTTAAAAGCGTCCCTACCAAAGATATGCTAAATATTTTTAAATTAAAATGTTAGGGCCCGTTTGATTGCAAATGTGAAAAATTGGTGGGAAGAAAATGTTTTACAGGGAATTGAATTGTCTAAAAATTGTTCACTGTGTATTTGATTTGTATAATTTTCCACCTGTTGAAAGTTTGGTATCCGTTTGACTTCATTTTTTTATGAAAATTGTCTATTAAAGTGATAATTTTTTCTAACATTGAGTTTAGAATTTGTTCCAATTGCCAAAAAAATTATCACGCCGAATACCATTCGTTTGACTTTGTTTTGCAGGAAAATTGTCAATAAAGGTGATAAATTTGTTTACCGTTGTGTCTAGAATGTTTCCCCATTGCCAAAAAAAAAAATGGAAATTCAATTTCCACCAAATCAATTGGTGGAAATTGATTTTCCACAAAACCAAGGAAAATGTGAGTATTTGAGTCAAATCAAGAAAAAAATTTCCATGGAAAAGAAGTGTATCAAACAAGGCAAAAATAAAAATAAAAGTTTGTTTTTCATTTTACATGAAAAATAATGGCATATCAAACAGACCTGTATTGTCTCTTGACCCAGTTCAATATATTAAAGAAATTAAAATGGATTGATTCCTAATTTCTCAATGCTCTTTTACTCTCACCCTTGACCCTTTATCGATCGATCTCCCTTCCTTTCGTCACCCGCCATAAAGAGCTGACGCAATGAGGTCCCAATTGGCAACCGTCCTTTCACATTTTATTTCGGGATGGGGTTTAGCAAATTTTCAACACTTATTCAATTGCAATTTCAATGTGAACTAATTCAATCACTAATTATTTATTATTATTATTGATGTTACTAAAAATCGTCACATGTTGATTCTCGATCGTAACGATTGAGGATGATCACGAATGAAATTTTCGGTACCTGAAACAAGGGCTTCAGTGTGTGTCCTCGTTGTCCATCCGATACTTAAGCTAGTGAAATGGGAAAATATATGCGTAAGACTATTAATTGAATGTAAAACATATATGAATAATGAATTGTGGTCATATATTTAGAGAATATGTGATACACTCCTATTAGAGTTAGATTATCGGATATCTTATCCTTTTTAGAGTTTTAGAATGTATTAAAGTTCTATTAGAATATCTTTTAGTGGGATTCAACTTTATCAGAATTTGATAAGTTTGAATATGGAAGTAGAGTCATACTAAAGTATGTTTTTTGAGGTAGAAAAATTGATAAATGGAAAAATTCAAGGTGACGTGGAATCTTCACATGCGACAATTAAACTCGAGGAGGACACCTTGGATAAACTCCCTAGACGACTGGAAATAATTTCGGGCATCGTTGCTAGGGGTTGATAAAAAAAAAATGACCATATCAATTATCAATTGTGTTTTTTGGCCTGATTGCATTTGAAAAAACCATAAAGAGACACCAAATGGGACAATGGGCGGGGAATAGGTGTTTCCTATTCGGTCTCGCACCCACCATTTCCCATTTATATGCATTAGGGACCAATGGTCCAATCAATAATGAAAGATCGAGGACCATCCCAGAATATTATTTGAGATGGACGGTGCAAAATTCTCATTTAACTCCCTTTTGGAACTCATTATTCTACCAAAGGAATACATTATTCGACCGTTATACTCCAAATTTAGCCACCATTTTTGATCGTTTGCCTCACAGGTGGGTTCACTCTCTCAACCAATGGTCATTTTTTTCCTATTTTGGAGTTGAAGAATGAGCTACAAGTTACTTTTCTTTTTGTCTAACTCACTTCCACATAGTTTGGACTCCTTGGGGGCTTTCTACTTGATTGACAAAATATATAGATACAAAATGATTTGAAATCTATCCATAGCCAAACATGGGCTAAGAAGTATGGTCACAGCTTGATGGATATTTTTTGAGATTAGATTTACATGAAAAGTGATTTCATTGAGAATATATGGTTAAAAATTAAGAGAAAATTATGAATTACGCGCAAAAATTATGTCATGTTTGGTTTGGATTGAAATCCAATTAAAATTTCAAGTTAAAGTAAAAAATTAACTTTATTCACATATTTCTTTGAACCACAACTTTTCATCCACACATTTCATAAACTTTTATTAAAATTTTAAAAATCTGATTTTAATCTCTACTAAACATGAATTGTATATAGTAAAAACGTAAACTTAGAAAAAGAGAGGAGAAACGATTTTTTGAAAAAGGGCCAAACACAAACGGGGTTAATTTTCATCCCGCCCGCTATAGAAGGACTTGCTTCAAAAATGGATAATGTCATTTGTACATTCTAATGTTTTCATCTTTATTGACACTGTTCTTGTAAAATGGGGTGTTTGAGCCCCATTATTTTTTAAGAATGTATTTTGGAACGATAAATTGATGGATAATGTACAATTAAAAAGAATAATTATTTTTTTTGTGTAATATTATTTTAGAACATGTCTATCCCAGATTATTGTTGCCAAAACTGTGATTTTTTGCCCGTTATTGCCCACATTTCTTGACCATTTCTCTCTAGCATGGGTCCCACATTTCAGACCAACGGCTATAATCTTGATGTTAATCTAGGGAAATAGAGATAACAAACAGCCCCTTAATGAAGAGTGTGTGGTTAAAAAAAATACATAAAAAAATATAGTCCATGTTTGCGCCAAATTAAAATTTCAATTCTCATTCTTCTACTCTTTTTAACCACATATTCTTTAATAAAATAACATTTTTCATCTAGCGGTGGCAATTGGGTCAAGCGGCTCGTCGGCTCGGGTGCTTGGCTCGTACTATTCATACCCACGAGCCGCTCGAGCTCGTAAAAAAAGGAGCCCGAACACGAGCCGAGCAGGTGGCTCGGTAGACGAGCCGAGCCTACTCGGCTCGTTAAGCAACAAGCCGCTCGCCGAGCTGCTCGTCCCACGAGCCGGCTCTGCTCGTGGCTCGTGTCTAATTTTACGTTCGACAACGCCTCATAAATAAAGCTGTTATCGATAAATTACATAGAGTTCTTAATCCTGATTTCGGTGGCTCTTTATTTCATGTTCGATGTGTATGCTATA